TAACGTAGATTATTATTTGAAATACTTGATGAATTAGATGTTGGCGTTGTTTTTTTTTTTTTTATGGTTTATAGAATGACCTCATTGGTCGGGGTTTTCCCTTTATTATTAAAGTATCTGCAGTTCGTATTTTATGGAAGGGTTTACAGTAACATATAAACGAGGGTACAATAAGCCACATGTACAACTTTAGTCATTGTCTATTTAAGGGTTTCGCTTGTAGATTCCCCACTCATTGCTATACCTAAAACCCGCTTGTGGGTCCCCTATTTAAACTTTCTGATCTTCAATATTATTCTGCTTGCATGATCTTTAATGTTAGGTACTTAGTCCGACCTTTGAACTACTTTATCCATGAGGTAAATTCTACTGAAGGAGATAGTTCCCACAGCTACACCTTATTCAGATTTTCTTGCGCCAGAGGTGATTCTATATTAGGTAAAGCCAATCCTTTCCACAAACGTCGATGACATTCTCCACATTTCTCACTATAGTAGTGCCAGCGCTCTGCCGTACCAGTTTCCTTCTAGGAATTCCTTAAACCAGACATATACCTTCACTTGGACTTCCACAGGGCTTCGCGTACAATTATAGGCTCCTTTTTAGGTTACAGAGTATTTACCTCCAGCCAAACTCGAACCGTCGACCTTGTCTGTGGGGGGACGGGAGCTTATCCATTAAGCTATGAGACCGAACCCTGTTGACGTTGTTTGTTCTAAGTTTGAGGCAATTAACTCTTAAAATTGATGTGTTAATTCATCTTTTGCCTTTTTTTGAATATCATAATCCCAGGTAGAAAGTGTTTTTAATCAGGAATCCAAAAGTGAAACAAGCAAGCCAATCATTATTGGTTTATTCCAATACTCAAACAAAGAATTATAGATTGTATGTTGCATAATTTTAATAACTTGAATATTAAGTAAATATTCTTTGTTTAAATGTGTTGGGTAATTATTAACTGATAATTTTATATCTGAATCTTCACTCTTATCATCATCAGATTCTTCGTAATGAAAGTTGGGTGTTTCTATTTCAAAAATAATAAATGTATTATTTATAAATTTGCTTTGAGATAAAATAATAATAAATAGAATTTGTTTTTAAAATTATAAGTATCATATATACAAATTATATGAATATTGCATAAAATAATACCTCTATTATCACCATTATCATCATTATTGCTAATTACTTCAGCATTAACAAATGAATATTTTAGAGCCTGGATTAATGAATAAATAATTGATAAAGTAGCATATTGTGATCCACTAAAATATGTGGTGGCATCATCAAAGGGTTCAAGTAGTGTTACTATTTGTGTTAATAAATCCCATTCGTTGGAAGAAAGAAGCTGTTTATTTAATTTTTAACTATCAATTCGATCATCTTGGTTATCAGATAATGGTAATATCACAGCCAACCATTCAATTGCTTTGCACAATTTTAATAACCGTTTCCAAGAATAGAATTTAGAATTCTAGCGAGTCTTTGTATCTACAATATTTCGCAAAATAGGCTCTCTAAAATTTATATTATTTGACAACAAATCGTCTGAATCACTATCAGATTTATTTAATTCATTAGTTAAATTAATACTATCCTGAATTACAGAAGTTGCTGATAAATGATGCTGACATTCTTGTTGGGCTTTATCCAAACGCTCACTTTGTTTAGAAGAATCTGATGATGATAAGAGTGAAGATTCAGATATAAAATTATCAGTTAATAATTACCCAACACATTTAAACAA